GACACTGGCGCCACCGGGCCCTCTGACCACCACCAGTAGGCAACGGGTGAAGTGTCTTGCCCAAGGACACAACGACCGAGACTGTCCAAGCCAGGGCTCGAACCGGCAACCTTCCGATTACAAGGCGAGCTCCTAACTCTTGAGCCATGACACAGCACATTTAATTCTGTTCTGCCTTGCAAGACTTCTGCCACAAACCCCTGGTGACGGATCCAGTTTCTCCAGTCACTTCTAACTTGGACCAAGTCCACCTCTGGTAGCATATTACAAGAAAATGTGTGCTCGAGTTCCTGAGAAATCCTCACATCCTCTGTGGCAGTAATAGTAATCTGTGGTGGAGTAAGGGTGCATTTTCAACATGATTTGGTCAAACTGTGACCTCAAACATTTACTGGCGACTCTGATCCTGACACAACAGGAAAATGAAGCTTTTCTTTTGAGTTTTCACTGATTAACTTTGTCCTCCTTTTACAAGTTGAACTTTATTCTCAATCAGTGGATTAAGTTCTTTCTAACTAACAGTGAGTTCAGGGTCAAACATGGGTCAGAAAATGAAGAATAATACTAAGTAAGCAATTCTTAAGCCACATACCTGTGTCATTATTTCTTTCCTTTTTTAAAAATTTAAATCAATCATGACAGTGACAATGCCAGAGTAAAAAAATCCTTCGGGATTATTTGCATTTTGCACCCATCCCAACAGGTTTTATCCCACAGGGGCGGTGATTTGATTCAGCCTGTATCACTAGGAGGGGTAAAGGCTTCACAAGGTTAAAGTTACATATTTCAGTGTTTTTGCACTTTGAAGGTCTTGTACTAATTGATTTATTGCGAATGACCTCTTGTGACCCATCCCCAACAACTTCATGTGCCACACTTGATGAACTGCTCTGTGGAGAAGCAGCCGTGGCTCGAGCGTTCAGAGAAAAACGAGTCCAAATCTGCCCGGAAAGCTACCTGTGTACTTAGTTGCATACAGTTTTTTTTGGCCTCGGTGGAGCTCAGTCTGACTGCCCTTCTAGTTTAAAAGCAGTTGTGGTGGTGTTTTCTTTATTTTCTGTGTTTATAGTTAAGCTGTTCCAGCCAGATTGGTAGTGTTATGAAGGGCAGGCTCAGTGAGAACCATCGGTAAATTAAAGCTGGTTTTATCTGTAAAGGACAAACTGTTCCAGTAGTCTGCTCTGACCCATCCAGTTCTCCCATCTGTAACACAATACCTCCATTCATACGCAATGTTTTCACAGGACTCTGTGCAGCCATGTGGAAAGCGAAGTACCTGCCATCATTCAGTAGCTTTTAGGAGCAATAACTTGCATTAATGGTTTTCTTTATGACTTTATCAGTCTCTCACATCGTTGTGGAGGCCCAGTCTTCTTTAGTTCATTGAGATTTGAGGTCATTTGCTTATGCACAGTTCTCTTAAGGTCAACAGCATCAGTCAGATTCGGGTCTGGAGTTTGACAGGACCACTGTTGTGCTTGGGATCATTGTCCTGTTGCGTGACCCAGTTTCAGCCAAGCTTGAAGTGTCAGACAGATTTCCTCAGGTTTGACTCTAGAATATTTTGGTATACAGAGGACTTCATGGTTGACTCATTTACTGTAAAACAAACCTAAATCATCACCCCTCCACCATCGTGCTGACAGCTCGTGTGAGGTGTTTTGTGCTGATATGCTGTGTTAGGTTTTGTGCATTTTGGCCAAATGTCTCTACTTTGGTCTCGTCTGTTCTCACCCTGTGGAAAAAATTAGTTCCTACACTAAATTATCGTCAGATTTATGAAACGTGTACTGGCCTATTTTCTTCTTAAAACTGTGCTTATGTTATCAGTCAATCAAGTCAGAATCATTTAGAATCAACAGCCTTGTGCTATGGAACGCCAGGACTGCCGTAATGAATTAATTAAATACACTATTAAATAATTAAATGTGGCAATAATTAATTACAATTGAAAATAATTAATAAAATAAATATTTACGACACATTTAATTAATTATTTAATGGTGTAATTAATTCATTATGGCAGTCCTGGCGTTCCATATTGTGCAACCTCCATGCAATTTGCATATCATCTGCAGATTGCTCCACCCGCATTTATCAAAATTTATTTATATAGCATGTTTAAAAACAACAATGTCGATCAAAGTGCTTCACAAATTAGGAGCGAAGAAAATAATTTACCAACTGCAACACAAAACAACCTAGAAACCAGCCAAAATTTAGTCAACTAACTTAAGTCACAGCCAAAGTAAAAAGGTGAGTCTTTAAGCGAGATTTAAAAGACTGAATAGACTCGGAAGTGTGAATGGTAATAGGGAGATTGTTCCATACTCTAGGCGCTGCGATGGCAAAGGCACGAGCGCCTCTGGTTTTAAGCCTAGACCTGGGCTGCATTGAGAGCATCTGGTTAGAAGATCTTAGTGCTTTTTTTGGGGGGGGGTTATACAAATGGAGAAGTCCTATTAAACAGCTAGGTGCCGTATTATTTAACATTTTATAAGTGAGTAAAAGAGTAAAATGATCATACATTCTGGTACCTGATAAAAGGCTATATAATGAACCATGTACCTCCACGTATTGTGCCATGTATGGAGAAAGCAGTGACAACGTTGTAAGAGGAAGAAAAAGGTCTGACGACTGTAGAAAATTCAATAATAGAGTGCAGCAGAAAGAGCTGAGTATATCTCCATTTTCACTCTCACCTATGGTCACAAGCAAAAGGTATCAATATTGTTGTTGTTACTATTAATATTTTAATATTCACTTGTGGTTTATAGAGCATTTAAAAGTAGAATGGGAGGCAGAGCCTTCAGCTTTCAGGCCCCTCTTCTGTGGAAACAGGTCCCAGTGGAAGCAGTAATGCTGGACTGCATGTGATTATGAGAATAGTCTTCCACTTCCACACTTTCTGTTTACAGCTCCTACACTTCTAACTGTTACAAACAAAATGGATCATATGACTCCTGTGTCCATGCTGTTCTCTGAGATGCTTATGATTTATCCATCTGTCCTCTTACACGTATCCATTTTAGGGATACATCCTGAACTGATCGTCAGTCGGTGTCAGAGTTGTTTGTAATTTCTTATTCATGTGGGTTCTTCATATTTATGTCCTTGGAGCACTAATAAATTTGGCCCTAGCATTAAACAGTTGTACTCTCAGGTCAGGGTAAATGCATTCAGACTGGTCTACACAGTATTTTTTCCACTCTCCTTGCATTTGGTTCCTCCTTATTTCTCTCTTGCCTTCTGTTTGAATTTATTTTATATTTTTTTTGTCGGTCAAAGCACTTTAGAAGGTGCTTTATAAAAAAAGTTATTTCAGTTAAAAGAAAGCAATAAGAAGAGATCATTTCAAGGAAGAGACTTCCTGATTAATTCATTTACTGAAATAAAGAGTTTGAGTCTGATTAGACTTTGATGACGCTCCATAGCAGAGCAAAGTGTACCGAGGGTCTGTCCAGGGTCTGTCCAGGGTCTGTGGAGTACACTTAAATTACCACATATGTTAGAATTTAACTGCCAAGTCTCATTTTTTAGAGCTCTTGTACATAAGAAACACTGATTGTTTGGTTCTGGGGGAATTCTTTTTTTAAAGGGATGCTGTCACTGCTCTGAATACACCGTGATGGTCTAAAGAACTTCCTCAGTTAAATGTTTCTTCCAGGTTTTTGTGAATTCTGAAATAGTTAATGGTTTCTAAGACTGTTTCTATTTAACAATAAAGAGCAGAAGAAGAAGAAGCAGAACCCCCAACCATGAGGGGCAGCCAATCAGAAGAATCAAAGTCGTTCAAAGCTCCTATAGTAGAGCAAGAATGAAAACACCTAGTTGGAAGTGAGCTGAATCAGCCGTCTTTCAGTAAACATCTGCCCTTTTTGGCCTCACGTATTTTCTCTGTCTTCTGATGCAGTTTATGCAAAAACCAACATGTCAGCTGCGATCGATTACAAAGCTGGAAACATCTCTCATGTCTTATTGGAGGCTGATTTGTTTCTTTCTTCCTCAACCAGCCTGTATCCAGTGGTTCCTGGAAACGGACGCTTTGTTTCGGAGAACGAGGTGATTCTGGATAACTACTGGTTCCCGAAGAAGGTAGGAAGACACCGTTACACACACACACTCGTATGTCTTTAAGCATCTCTCTAAAATAAGCCGTCTTTTTCCAGACTCAGTTCCATCTGTGCCATTATGAAGCCTGCCACGATGAGTCCGAGTTCACAAATGCTGAGCACTTCCTCCCAGAGCGGTGGTTTCGCAGTGACACGCCGAATAGCCGCAGTGACAGAGCCAGGCCCGGCTTCTACCAGCATAACCCTTACAGCTTCATCCCGTTCGGTGTCGGGGTGCGAGCCTGTGTGGGGAAGAGGGTGGCAGAGATGGAGATGCACTTTGCTCTGTCCAGGGTGAGTGATGCAGAGCTAGTGCTTTTTTAAGGGTACCTTTTGTACCCTCTGCACAATCTGTGCACACGGGGGGGCAGCTGTGTTCCTTGTGAGGATTGCCCTTTTCCAGCCTCCCTCGCCTGCTTATAGAAAGCACCATGTGGTAGAAACTGGCATTGCATGAAAGTACAGCCCAGCTAGTTTGACCTGAGTTAACATCCCTTTAACCCAGAACACTGTTGTAGCTTCTTCACTTTCTGTTGATAATATTAGGTAATTTTGAAAGATTGTTGGCTTTTTCTCTGGGTTTTTTTTGTATTATTGTAGGTTTTAACTTACAATATAAAGGATCTGAATTGAATTGAACTGAAATATTTATAAATATTTTTAAACCCAGGACTAAATGCTGAAAATGACACTAGATGTTCTCTCCAAGTGAAGACAGCTGCAGTACTTTATCTTCCTGCAGTCTACAGATGCTGGCTGAGCAGCAAGAAACTGATAAACTGGAAATAAAAACAGTAATAAAATGATTAGCGAGTCCTTAGAGGGAAATAAACAGAAGAAAAGCTGCAAGAAGGAATTTCTGCAAAAATGCCAAACAAAATAGAAAAGCTCCTTCTTTTGGCGCTCCAGCACTTGAATGCACTGAGACATGTACATCACTTCCTCTGTCTCATCTTTATCACTAAGGACGTCTACAGGCTGTTGAATACTTCTGAAGAAGCCGGCTGGCTTAAAGTGGCATTTCAGGCTGCTGTTAAAGGTCAGCGCCTTTAGAGCGCCACAGATTTTATATTTTTAACCTTTTCGTTCATATTTAAACGGCGGACGGTCACGGCAGATGGCGGCCCCTCCCTGAGCTGGGTTCTGCTGGATGTTTCTTCCTTTTAAAAGGGAGTTCTTCCTTCCTTTCTACACACTGATGCAACCTTGTTGCGCTTTAGGGCATTATTCTTTTCATCGACAGGTTGCCTAATCTTAAATAATCTGTCTCAGCTTGTTGGAATTTCTACAACTACAACCTGTTATATCTGTATTCAAGTCATGTCATAGATATGAGCATATGAAAACAGATATGCTGAAGAATGTTTGGCCTGCTTTCAGAGATGAGAGTCTCCCTGTGGTTTGTGTGTTTTGACATTTTCAAAAGCCAGGTTGCCTAATTAGTGTTTTAATGCAAACATCAGTCTTGGTGGCTGTGGTCAGCGTTGTTCTGTTTTCGTGTTAAAAACAGTTTTAACCCAATAGGTTCAATTGTTTACAAAGTGAATTTATAAAGAAAGGAGAAGTGCAGTTTAATGCACTTTTAGTATATATGTTATGTTCTGCAAATCAACAGAGTAAATAACTTAGGTAATCAAACATTTAGCTACAATTGGAAGCAGCCGATTTATGGGTACATTTTTTTAACACAGTCCTGCTATTGCTCTGCAGCTGATGCAGCATTACGAGATCCAGCCTGAAGATGGTGCACCGACAGTGGAGGCCAAAACTCGGACGCTGCTCATTCCCGCTAAGCCCATCAACCTGCGCTTCCTCCCCAGAGTCTGAAGATGGTGCCAGTGATGGCAAGCAGCTCGTACATTCACAATAAAAGTGCTCCCAGAAGTTTCTTTCTCAGTGTAACTTTAGTTTGAGCAACAGGCTAAAACTGCACAGAGGTACAAATGAGTAATTAGATAAAAATTTAAGGCCATTTCTGGTGTTTGCCAGTCTGGGTGTGGTGCAGTTACGCATCTGAGCCTTAATGGTGCAGATTCCTGTCAGCAGCTGCATTTAACAAATTTCAGCAATGATGGTAGTGAGTAAATCCTCAAGCCAGGTTGACACATGCAGGGATTTCTCTTTAGGAACACATTTAATGGGCACATTTATCATTTTAAAGAAATAAGCTCATAATTTATCTACACATTTATCTTTATATGTATTTCTTTATATTTCCTTAGCTAACGTCTGTTATGGTCTTCCTTTATTATTTCATAGTTGTTGTCATTCTGTTTAGTTTTAGCCCTCTGGTATAGTTCTGGATTTTTCAGCAAGTAAAGGCATGTTTTTTGTTTTTTAAACCTCCTTTAGGTTTGTGCATGTGGCTCCTCAATTTATTAACCCATAACAGAATTTGCAAAACAGATGTTATTAGTTTTTAGTTACTACTCAAGTATAACTTCTTTGCACTGTCAGATCTGAGAGTACACTGGCTGTTAAAGCCGTTTAAACACATTACTTTATTTACTTTAATTAACTTTTACCCTGACTTTGAGTTTGACATTGACTTTGGCTAAAGTGAATCTCTGAAGTCTTTGATGATGAACCAGTGAAGTGAAATTCTCCCTTTAAAGTTTTTAAAGATTTTATTTGTGCATGTATTTACACACAAAAGAGCTGTTTTATCTTTCATAAACATATTTGTGCAGGAAGTAATTTCATATTTTTCTTCCTCTTTCAGAGAAGCCAGAAAGAGAGAAAAAGGACTTCTCTGCAGAGTTTAGATGTTCACACAAAATTGAACCTAATGCCCAAATCTTGCCTTCTGCATTATATAATCACTGTAATTGTATAACAATGAGTCCTAATATCACAGTGTGTGTGTGTGTGTGTGTGTGTGTGTGTGTGTGTGTGTGTGTGTGTGTGTGTGTGTGTGAGAGAGAGAAAATGCCAGTCTAACTCCAAGCACTTTGCTTTGCATACTGTGCACACTGCCCCCTTGTGACAATAAGGAGGAACGGCAGGCTGTATACACATTTAAAGTTGAGGTTAATAAAATATTTTACACCGATCGCTGTTTGTTTTGCTGTAAGCTCAGCATCAACCACACAGAGGAATAAAGTTGGAGAGAGTGTGTGAATTTACTGAAGGAAAAGGAATTTTTGAACAATTACAATATCACATGTAGACGTGGTGATTGTGATCCCAGTAAAGATGAAATGTTTGTGTTTTTTTCTAAATAAATCAAGTATTTTCTTTATTTTTGACTTTTTAATTCACATTCACTGCAGTCTGGCCATTCCCCTTTAACCTCTGACATCACAAGGCTTTGGCTTGACTCAGTGGATATTTGTGGTAGCTTAACAGATGTAGGTAAGTGTACAGTATTGTGCAAAAGTCTTAAGTCACCCCTCAGTTCTTTATATCTTCCTATTAAAATGAGAAATAGGTGCAGCTACTGAAACATGAAGCATGCATGAAAATAAGATACATAAGGTAAAAAACAGTGTTTTGCACAACTCTAACAAGCTTGAAAGTCAATATTTGTTGTGACCACCTTTATTCTTCAGCACAGTCTGAACTCTCTTAGGCAGCTTTCTTGTCATGTCTTTAAGTCGTCTTCAGGAATAGTTCTCCAGGCTTCTTGAAGGACATTCAAAGCTCTTCTTTGGATGTTTCTGCCTTTTGTTCTGTTCTCTGTCCACATGATCCCACACTGCTTCAGTAATGCTGAGGTCCGGGCTCTGGGAGGCCGATCCATGACTGATAGTGCTCCACTGTGTTGTGTGTGTTTGTTTGTTTTTTAAATTCAGGTATGTTTTTGTTTATGCCGCTGGTATTTGAGAGTGTGTTTATAAACTCGAAACAAAACAAGATGCCTCTATCCAAACATCAGTTTTGGCTCTTTAAGCCATTGTTAAAGAATGCAAAGAGAAGGCATGACTGTACATGCACGAGGAAAATCAGGGACATCTACACAGTGTTGCGTGAGTCCTGTGAGGTTTCCCAGTTTGAACGATGCACTGATGTGATATTAAAGAGATTACACACAACAGTCTGATTTTTATTTAAGGAGACAGGAGGACAAAGTCTCCTTTCTAAGGACAGATAAGTGAGATTTGAGATGAGTTTTTCCAGAGCAATTTTATCTTTTTTTTTTCTTTTTTTTTTATGAGTGACAGTACGCACAATCAAATATCACAAGTAACTGAATCTGACATACAATAAGAGAGAAACTTTCATAACATATTGAACAATTACCTACACTCTTTGGCCCCTTTATTAGGTACACCTTGCTAGTACAGGTTGGACCACCTTTTTCCTTGAGAAATGTGATGGCAACATTCCAGTTTGAGATGATCTGAGTTTTATGACATGTGGGTGAGATTTTTCTATGTAGTTTAGA